CCCCAAAACCCCAAAACCCCAAAACCCCAAAACCCCAAAACCCCAAAACCCCAAAACCCCGTAAAGTCTCTATTAAATTTAAATTACATAATATTTTTTAAAATGCAAACTAAAACAAAAGACCCGGGCCTTAAGAAATCTCTGAAAGGTCATAAGGATGCAGTAATGGCTATTGATTTTAGTCCAGACTCGAGCCAGGTAGTATCAGGAAGTCTAGATGCAACTGTACTAGTATGGAAGCTTAATGCTAAGCAAGTGCCGAATAAGTTTGTTGGACACACAGGAGCAGTTCACTCTGTAGCATTTAATCCTACCGGAACTCTTATTGCAACTGGATCTTCAGATCATACTGTTAGGCTGTGGGAAAATGATATGAGAGGCAGATCTTCTGTATTGAAATCTCATTCTGGGACAGTCAGAGCATGTTCTTTCTCATTTGATGGACAATACTTGTTGACTGGATCAGACGACAAATACCTCAAAATATTCACAGTGCATAATAAAAGGCATACATCAACAATCAATGCTCACACGAATTGGATTAGAGCTGCAGAATTCTCTCCAGACTCAAGATTAATAGTTTCAGCTTCAGAAGACAAAAGCGTAAAATTGTGGGATTCAGAGCAACTTGCGCTAATCTCCACTTTTGAAGACGAGGCTAGCTTCCTATCAGCAAGATTTCATCCAGATGGAACATGTCTTGCTTCTGGAACTCTTGATGGTAAAACTAGTGTTTGGGATATCAGATCACAAGAGCTTCTCCAACTCTACGACACTGCTCACACAGATGCAGTAAACTCAGTTGCGTTTCATAACTCAGGGAGGTATCTTCTGACTGCATCAAACGACTCAACCATGAAAATATTCGATCTGAGAAAAGGCAGCTTGCTCTACTCCCTCTATGGTCACGAAGGAACAGTACAGGTTGTTAATTTCTCAAGAGATGGAACCCTTTTCGGTTCTGGAGGCTCAGACTCCAACCTCATCCTCTGGGACAGCAACCTTGTCGATCCTGAGCAAGAACAGGAGGCTCAAAGACTTAAAAAGTCAAAGAAAGACATAAAGGGTCCTGGTAAGAAAGCCAAGGGTGCAATCTCAGCAGCTGAGAAGCTGAGGCGCCTTCAGAAGAAAAGAAAGAATGAAAATAAGCAGCAAGATGAAACTAAAGTAGAAGATAAGGAAAATAGCTCGATCGCATCTAATCAAGAATCCAAGTACGAAGCCATTGCAGAGGATTTAGCCGGTATGATGGATAAGGTCACAGTTCAGCTGGATATTATTACAAGGACTATAGTCACCCTTTCCAAACGTATTGGGGACAACGAGGAGCTAGTTAATGAAGCTTATAACCAATATAAGATTCATAAAAGAAATGCTGAGATTAAGGAGCAAAATCCTTCCCTTAATAACGAGGATCTGTCTGAGAACGAAAGCGAACAAGAGCCAAAAGAGGAATTTAAGGAGACTTTTGATCCTGCTCAATCAGTAATGGACCTAGAAGAGACCAGAAATAAGTGTAAAAACATTATGAATATTATCAACATCAGCCAATACTCCTTAGCTGCAATTTCAAAATCAGCAAATGATGTCAAAGAGACCACTACAAAGCTTCAGAAGGACTTCCTACCCGAAGGAGGCGAGACCAGAGCAGCAGATCCCATCAGAGAAGATTCTGATGAAGACCTTGAGAGAGAAATCAGCCCATAAGCTAATAAATAGCAACTAAATTATTCCCAAAGTAAACGGGGTTTTGGGGTTTTGGGGTTTTGGGGTTTTGGGG